AAATCCACTAAATCAATATCTACAACTAAAGGATTAGTACAGGGCAAGCCCTAGAAAGAAGTTTACTGCATTTTTCTAGTTGTGATACAGCTCTTCCATTGAGGAATTGAAGATCGAGAGAAGTAGATGGAGGGTTTATGAACTGAAACCCTAGTTCCAACAATAGTCGTGGTTCCAACAACTGTACCCCTTTGATTTCAATTTCATGGTCTGGTGACTAAAAAACCTTCGATTTCACTAAGAACCGGAACCCTAGTTCCAACAATAGTCGATTTTGTGGCCCTATATAGAATTTTAGGCACGAGACTCCTTGATTTCTGCCGACTGGTATGGGAGAAAGGAGAAGTGCATCGTGGTTCATTTTTTGGATATTTGACTGAGCGAATTAGAGCGGGGGCAGAGAATGGGTGGAGACATCGGTCGGAGATCAGAGATTTGGTGATGGTGTGATGCTGTTGTGGGAGAAAAGAGAAGTGACGGTGAGAGAGACATCATGGCTCTTCGATTGAAGGTTTTTTTTGGTATTTGATTGAGAGAGAGAGAGAGAGAGAGCAGAACGATTGAAAGAAGGTATAGGAGAACATGGCGGCTTTTCAAACTTTTGGAATTTCATTTCCCCCGTGAGCTTCTAAAACCCGTGTTTATGAAAAAAATATAAAGCGACGTGCGCACACGACACACATTTTATCATATGCGTCCTCCGTGTTTTTTTTTGGACACTAGTTTTAGGGCACGCACAAATGCGTGTCCTCTATCCTTCAAATTTTATAAGAGATGACATTATTTTTAGGACGCACGCTTTTGCGTATCGTAAATCACTGTGTCTCATTGTTTGCGCGTCATTAAAGATTGTTTTTCTAGTAGTGTCAAAAAAATGCCCACGGTACAAAACCAACGCCGTTATTATACCGGCGGTAAAAATACCCTCACGGCTCGGTGTTCACCGACGGTATATGTGCCAAATTAGCCTTTGTCGACGGTAAATAAGCAAGACATCTTATAGCTAATAGTTTAAATCGGTGAAAATCTAAAAACATAATTTAACTCATTAAATAAAATGAATATTAATTTGATGGTTTAAAAACCAATAGTTTTCGGAATATCGGATGCGGTCTGATATTAAATTTTAATTTATGATTTTCTATAGCATAAAAAGGACGATGACTCCTTTTAAAAAATACAGTCATTCAACCTTTATTTTATCGTATATTTTAATATAAACTATTATCTAAAGATAAAACACTTCCAATGTTTCTTAATAGTAAAGATCGAATAAACCTTTTGGACCAAAATCATTTGATAAATGCTTGTAAAGATCTATTTATAAACATATATTGTTGGTGCAAAATAAAAAAAAGCAACAAAATAACGACATTAATACTGTTTGGATTTGATTGCATCAAATATAAATCCTTGTTGATGACCCACTTGGTGGGTTCTCTTTTACGAGTTGGAGGGACCTACTCGACGAGTTGAGGGACCTACTCGACGAGTTGGAGGACCCAACTCGACGAGTTGAAGTTGGAATATGAAACCCTAATTTTTAGGGTTTGCACCATATTTAAAAGACCTTAAGTCCTTTCCTCCAGCCCCTTACCACCTTTTGACGGCCAGAAGAAACCCTAATCATTCTAAACCCTATTCTTGAGTGTGTGAGAGGCTAAAGTGTGTTCTTGGTGCATTTGTTGAAGAAGCTTGGAGTTTTAGAAGCTTGGAACAAGAAGAAGCCTGTAGATCCAGTGTCTACATTTCCTTGGCTTGCATTTGAAGGTAAAAAGCCTTTACCTTGGCATTCCATTTGTTAGATATCTTCTTATGTGAGAAAAGGGGCATTTTTGTGCAAAAATGGAGTCACGTTCGGATTTGAGCTTGTCACAAGGGCGTAGTTTCAGATCTGGACTCCTCTAGGCCCTTATGGACATAAAGCCTCAAGCTTTATGAAGCTTTGGCCCTCCTTCATGTCCAAAACCTCCTTCTAATGCTAGTTATAGGTGTTTTAGCTTCATGGAGCCTTGCATGCACGTAAAGTTAGCAACTTTACGTGATAACAACACCCTAGGAGCCTAGATCTACAATTTTGAGTTTTGGTTTCACATAAAAGTATCTGAATGAGAAATGGACTGAAGGAACTCGACGAGTTGCATGGTCAACTCGACGAGTCTGATGAAGACTGGTCGTTTTTGGTTTCTGCATGGACTCTGCGAGCCAGTAAGATGACTCGACGAGTTAGTTAGGGTTTTCCCGAAATTTAGACATCTCATGCACTCGACGAGTTGTCTGGAAACTCGGCGAGTCGACCAGGGTCTTCACGACTTCTTGAGTTCTGAAGGAACTCGACGAGTCAGTTAGCTACACTCGACGAGTTGGGTCAACATGGACTGTTGACCTTGACCGTTGACTTTGACTTTAACCAAGGGTTGACTAGTTTGACTTCTGGGGGTATTTTAGTAATTTGGAAATTTATGGAAGTGGATTATTGGTGGATGTAGGTGTTTGAGTTTGGAGCTGTATTCGGGGAGTTTGACATTATCATCCTGAGCTACTTGTGAGGTGAGTTCTTCTCACTATATCAACAGGGTCTAAGGCACCAAGGCCGACCCTTTATGATTAGTATCCTGGTTATAGGATTATGCTATGTTAGTGATGTGTTAGATCAGTATCCTGGTTATAGGATTATGCTATGTTAGTGAACTGTTAGATCGGTATCCTGGTTATAGGATGATGTTATGCTAGTGATCTGTTAGATCGGTATCCTGGTTATAGGATGATGCTATGAATAGTGATATGTTAGATCTGTATGACTATCTGTACATGCTAGCTAGCGTATGATATTTGTGTGCACATGATTGTTTGATTGGGGGTTGGGTTGAGGCGGTCGTGCTTTGTGCTCGTGCCAACATACCCAGGGCGGACCGGATAGACTACAGACCCGGTTAGGGCGTACTAGTCAGGCCAAAGGCCAGGCGAGCGGTCCGGATAGGCTGAAGGCCATGAGAGGCGGTCCAGACGTGACGATGGCTCGGAGAGCGGTCCAGATAAATTGATGGCCTGTGAGGCGGTCCAGTCAGGCTGATGGCTCATTATGCATGTTGTTTTCTATGATATGATTATACTTGTATGGTGTTGGTATTTTTGGGGAACTCACTAAGCTTCGGGCTTACAGTTGTTCATTATGTTTCAGGTACTTCTGATGATCGCGGGAAGGCGAAGGCGTGATCGTGCACCTCCTTATGTTTTTATGATTTGATTCTGGGATACTCTTATATGAAACCATTTTGAAAACAAATTTGTAATAATTATCAGTTTTTGAATGATTTAAAAAGTTTTAAATTGGCATGATTTTTATGGGTGTTATAGATTTCAAGTGTGATTCTTGATCGCCATTTATCGGACCATCGTCCTATTCTTTTAAAAAGAATATGTTGTGGATTATGGTCCTACGCCTTTTAGAGTGTTCCATTCATGGTTTTCTATGGATGGCTTTGATAAGGTTGTGGAAGACTCATGGAAAAATGATGGTGTCATTGATTCAAATGCGATGGTTGCTCTCAAAATTGATATTCTCAAGAAGCTTTCTTATATTGATCACAAAATTGATCAAGGTGTTGCTGAACTGACATATATTATGATTCGTGCGACTCTGGTTAAAGAGAGTGTGAAAATTGGTCAGATTGAGATTGCGGATGTGGCTCAAAAAGCTAAGATTCGTTGGGTAATTGAAAGAGAAGAAAATTCGAAATATTTTTGTGGGATTCCTAACAAGAAAAAAAGACAACTGGAGATCCGTGGTATCCTTCATGAGGGAGAGTGGGTGGATGAACCGCCTCTTGTGAAAAGCTGAGTTTTTGGATCATTTTAAAAATCAGTTTGCTAAACCGATGGAGGCTCGTGGGTTGGTTAATCATGACTTTTCTAATTTTCTCAGTTATGCTCATGCTTCAATTTTGGAGGAGGACGTGACTAACGAGGAGATTAAGAGAGCGGTTTGGGATTGTAGGACTGATAAATCCCCAGGTCCGGATGGCTTCTCCTTTGATTTTATCAGACGGTTTTGGCATATTCTTGGGGTTGATTTTGTTGTTGCGATCCTGGAGTTCTTTCGGTCTTTTACTTTTCCGAAAGGGCGCAACCCTTCATTTATTGCTTTGATTCCTAAAGTCAATGATGCAAAGTTGATCAAGGATTTTAGACCTATCAGTCTTATTGGGTGTCAGTATAAGATTGTGGGTAAGATTCTGGCTAATCTTTTGGCCTTGGTGATTGACAGATTGGTTGGTTCGGAGCAGTATGCGTTTGTTAGAGGTAGACAAATTTTAGATGGCCCTTTCATTATGAATGAGGTTATCTCTTGGTCTAAGAGG